TGATGAAACTCGCTCGATGGGCTATGGAAAATGAGCTTGATGGCATGTATGCTCGTCTGCAACTTTGGGCCTCGGTGTTCAACTGCGCAGCCATCATGTGTAACAGGCAATGCCCTCTTCACCGAGATCCGAGATCTACTCCAGAAGGGTTCGACATCATGACCAGTGTCGGCCATTATTGCGATGGCCTCATGACGCTGTCCAATCTCGGCATTCAGTTGCAATATAACTCCAGTGCCATGGTCGGCTGCTCCGGACACATTGTCAGGCATGGCGTCACATTCAGGGGTGATTGGTTCGTGTGGGCATGGTTCATGCGCGATAACCTTCACAATTTTGTGGGGACACCTCGGTCAGAGTATGCGAAATACAAGGATGTAGATTGGGATGTCTCGGTTTCAGCTTAGACGACCGTGTCATGGTATATCAGATTACATTACGGTTGTATTCAGCCTTTTGGATCGATTAGTGATAAGGTTGTCAATTAATTTGAATCGATGATGTTGATTGAATCCCTGAAGTCTTCTCGCCTGTGTCACCGATCAACCGGACGTGAAGATGGAGGCAATGGGCCGAGCCGAGATGATCGGCATTGTTTGCCATGTGCCGACCGATGTGCATGGGAAACACGTTCTGCATCGGCCCACCTGATAGAATCGAACGCTGCTCGTTCGTGGGCCCACCTGACATCATCCATCCCATCGGCCCACTGATATGCACAGGGAATGCATTCTGCATGGGCCGGTCGATATGTACAGGCAACACATTCTATGGGCCCACACAATGACTTCACAGCAAGCATTGGCCGACCGATATGCACAGGCAGGGCATTCTACATCGGCCCGGTGGATAACATTGGGAATTCAACCCCATCGGCCCACACGATAGCTTCACACCCATCGTTGGCCGACCGATATACACAGGCAATGCATTCCGTATCGGCCTTCCGGATAGGATCGACCTTTTCTCCCCCATCGACCCACCTGACACCACACATGCCATTGGCCGGCTGATATGCACATAGAATACATAGTATAGGCCCACCTGATAGAATCAAATGTTCTTTCACATGGGCCCACACAATGGGTTCACATTTGCTGTTGGCCGATCAATACACACGGGCAAAGTATTCAACATTGGCCCACCTGATACAATACAGACCATCGGCCGGCCGATACCTAAAAACAACACATCATAGGGGCCCACCTGATAGCATCGGGTATCCCTTCCCATGGGCCCACACAGTAGCTTCACACCTAGCATTGGCCGACTGATGTGTACAGGCAATGTATTTGACATAGGCCGACCGATAAGTACAGGAAATGTATTCCATGTGGGCCGACTGATACGCACAGGCAACATATTTTACATGGGCCAACCGATAAGCACAGGAAACGTGTTCCATACCAGCCAACCGATGCGCACAGGCAACCTATTTCATGTCGGCCAACCGATATGCACAGGCAATGTATTCTACATGGGCCGACCGATGTGCACAGGCAACATATTTTACATGGGCCAACTGATAAGCACAGGAAACGTGTTCCATACCGGCTGACTGATGCGCACAGGCAATGTATTCCATATGGGCCGACAGATGCGCACAGGCAACATATTTTACATGGGCCGACCAATAAGCACAGGAAATGTGTTCCATACTGGCTGACCGATGCACACAGGCAACCTATTTCATGTCGGCCAACCGATATGCACAGACAACCTTTTCCACGTGGGCCGACCGATACACAAGAAATGTATTCCATACCGGCCGACCAATGCGCACAGGCAACCTATTCCATGTTGGCCAACCGATATGCACATACAACCTATTCTACATGGGCCCACCTGATCTAATACAGACCGTCAGCCGGTCAATGGCCACAGCCAACAAGCTCCATGGGCCCGCCTGATAGCATCGGGAATTTCTCCCCATGGGCCCACATGATGGCTTCACACCCATCATTGGCCTACCGATATACACAGAGGATGCATGCTTCATGGGCCTACCTGATAAAGTTAACCGTTGCTCCTTCATGGGCCTGCCCGATACCACACATACAATTGGCCGACCGATACACACAGGCACTATGTTCTACATGGGCCCAGCTGACAGCATCAGAGACTCCTCCACCACCATTTGCCCACCAATATACCGAACCCATGGGGCTATATGATGTTCATGGCCACCGGCCGACATGTTAATATCGACCATCATTACTTATGGGCCCAGCTGTTGAAATCGGGTCTCAGTAAGCCTGCTGGCCAAATGTTATGCACAGGCAAAACCATTTGATCGGCCGACGTCCGCTGGCCTGTATGGAACAGCATATTTTCAACCTCGGCTGCCTGTATAATACAGACTATGTGACTGAATGGGCTCGATCAGCACACTCACGCACTGCAAATGGATGGGGAATGCCTTTGGTCAGCAAGGCTCAAGGTCGACAGAGGATCAGCACACTCACGCCCTGCAAATGGATAGGGAATGTTGTCGGTTAGCAAGGCTCAAGGTCAACAGAGGATCAGCACACTCACGCGCTGCAAATGGATGGGGAATGCCTTTGGTCAGTAAGGCTCGAGCTCGACAGAGGATCAGCACACTCATGGGCTGTGAATGGATGGGGAATGCCTTTGGTCAGCAAGGCTCGAGGTCAACAGAGGATTAGCACACTCACATCCTGTAAATGGATGGGGAATGCCGTCAGTCAGCAAGGCTCGAGGTCGACAGAGGATCAGCACACTCATGAACTGTGAATGGATGGGGCATGCTGTCAGTCAGCAAGGCTCGAGGTCGACAGAGGATCAGCACACTCACGCCCTGCAAATGGATGGGGAATGCCTTTGGTCAGCAAGGCTCGAGGTCGACAGAGGATCAGCACACTCACCAACTGCGAATGGATGGGAAATGCCATCGATCAGAAAGGCTCGATGTCGACAGAGGATCAGCACACTCACACCCTGCAAGTGGATGGGGAATGCCTTTGGTCAGCAAGGCTCAAGGTCGACAGAGGATCAGCACACTCACGCCCTGCAAATGGATGGGGAATGCTGTCAGTCAGTAAGGCTCGAGGTCGACAGAGGATCAGCACACTCACATGCTGCAAATGGATGGGGAATGCTGTTGGTCAGCAAGGCTCAAGGTCGACAGAGGATCAGCACACTCACACCCTGCAAATGGATGGGGAATGCCTTTGGTCAGCAAGGCTTGAGGTTGACAGAGGATCAGCACACTCACACCCTGGGAATGGATGGGGAATGCTGTCGGTCAGCAAGGCTCGAGGTCGACAGAGGATCAGCACACTCACAAACTGTGGATGGATGGGGAATGCTGTCGGTCAGCAACGCTTGAGGTCAACAGAGGATCAGCACACTCACATGCTGCAAATGGATGGGGAATTCCTTTGGTCAGCAAGGCTCGAGGTCAACAGAGGATCAGCACACTTACAGCCTATCAGACAATCAGCAATTTCATTGTTGAGCTTGGGTCAGGGTGCGCATGTATGGACATGCTCACATCCTGTCAACAGGGTCAGAAAGGCTCGAGGTTGACAGAGGATCAACACACTGACAATCTACCAACCAATGGTCAATCTCGTTTGTGAGCAATGGTCAAGGGTGACGTGGGATCAACATGCTCACATTCTGTGAACAAGTCAGCAATTTCATCGCAGAGCAATGCTTAAGCTAAGAAAGCTGAACACACTTACCCCCTGTCAACAGTAAATTCTTCTGTCAACAAAGCTTGGGATCGGACGGGGGATCAAAACACTCACTTGCTATCAACAGTTCAGCAATTTCATTGTTGAGCAAGGCTTGAGCTCAACTAAGGATGAACACTCACAACCTGTCAACAGATCAGCACATTCTTCACTCAGCAAGGTTTGAGCTCGACGGATGATTGATACACTCACTCGCTATCAATAGGTTGACAGTGTCATCAGTAAGCCTGGCCCGACATTGACAGAGGATGCACACACTCACATCCTAACAACGCATCAACAATGTCTTGGGTCAGGAAGGTTTGAGTTCGACAGTGGATCAACACACTCACTCGCTGTCAGGATACTGACAATTTTACTCGTGAGTAAGGCTCGAGGTTTGTGGGTGATGAACACACCACAGCCTGTCAACAGATTGGCAAATTCTTCGGTCAGCAAGGTTCTACAAATAATCGGCACACTTACGTTCTGCCAATGGATTGGTTGGCTCATCGGTCAGTAATGCTCACTGCTGAAGGAGAGTAACACACTCACATACTGACAACAAATCAGCGATTTTTCGATCAGGAAGGCTCTGAGTTCGATGCACAATTTTGGCACTCACATTCTATGAAGTGATTGGCAACTTGCCCGGTCAGGAATGCTAAAGCTCGGTTGCGGATGAGCACACTTACATCCTGAAAACAGATTGGCCATGTCATTGGTGAGCAAGACCGAACTGGATGCAACATCAACACTCACATCCTGTCAATGTGATACGCAATTTCATTTGTGAGCAACCCTTGACATCGATGGAGGATGAGAACACCCACCCTCTGTCAACGGATCAGCAATTTCATTGGTCAGCGAGGTTTGAGCTCGTCAGAAGACCAATGTGCTCACTTCCTGTCAACGAGTAGGCGATGCCTTCGGGTGAGTAACAAGGCTCGAGCTCGACGAAGGATAAACACACTGACTCGCTGTAAGTGGATTGCGAATGTCTTCAGTTAGCAGGGCTGGAGCTTGACAGGGGATCGACACACTAACACTTTGCTGTCGACAGATCGGCAATGCGCTCGGTGAGCAAGGCTTGAACTCGACGGAGGATTAACACACTCACTCCCTGTCAATGCATCAGTGATGTCTTCAATCAGCGTAAAAGAGAAAAATATTGGACGTACTGCCTGCGAGCAATCGCCAACCTAAATGAGAGTGATTTCTGAACAGTCCAAAAATCTCACCCAAATATGTGGAAACCAGGCACCCAACTCGCCTATTACCTCCGCATGACCCTGGAATGTGGGAGATGTGATTGTCTGAACAGAGTCGACAAGTTCCACAAGTGTTCTGCAAAATTTCGATCATTAATACTCACCACAAGTAAATGAGATCCTGGGTAGTTGCCTTTCAACTGCATATTTCATGCAAACCTCCAAGTTGGTTTGCTGAGTTGAGACAAACAGCTGCTTAAGCGCTTCATCATCCAGAGTGCCAGCCGTGTGTTCGATAAGTAGCCCGCAGTGCGCGCCATCCCTGTCCATGTCTAATATGGGATGTAAATCATCATGTATCACAATTCAACGATCAACCAACTCACTAGGGAGGCATACGTGACATTTTGGAGGCCGTCCGATGGCCTCGGGGTTGTATAGAAACTTCAATTGGGGCCCGTTCACAAATGACTCCTCGGCATGCTTCGGGGCCATTTCTTGAGTGTCTTCCCTAGAATGTCCGTCCCTTTTCAGCTGTGCATATGTGACGTCGTACAAGGCGTCGAATTTGGTAAATAATACTATCACCGGAACTGATGATGGTGAATGAGACAATCATTAACAATGGTTAGATCGACAACTTACTGCTTCCAGTGTCGCAGTGAGAGAAAAACTTGATTTCCCCTTCGGTGAAAGACCTGCTTGCTTCATCCATCGGTATGCAATACCTATGTCAAAGAAGTGAGCCAGCGCATGTCGCCAATGTGACCAATTACCATATGGCATGAAGTCAATCATTTACACTGGTTCTCTTAGAACGGTCGGTGATAAATGCCTTCACCTTGTCGAATTTGGAGTCTCCTCCTGCTTCAAAACCACGTGAATCGTGAAAGACGAATCCTGGGTTGCTTTGAAACACCATTTCATTCTCGATGTCGTGCTCTCCACACTGAGAACACGTCAGGTCATGTTGTCAATTGATGAGAGCACATATTACCTTTCTAGATGCCTTCAAGACGGCGGGCTTGATCTGATCTCGATAGGTCAATCATCGCTGCCCTCCTGCTATAACTATATCACGATGCACACCTTTTTCCCAGCGCTATTGTATATTTTTGGGTTCTCCCGTGTATCGCAAACCCTCTGCAGGATGGTGGTCTTTCCTGCATTCGCTCTTCCTATAATGAGGATTCGAAAGCGACTGAATTTTCGTCTTAACACTGAAGGCTCCACGGAAGACGGTGAGGGAGCGCTCAGTGCAAGCTCATGACTACTGCCTCTTCCTGCAATGAAGGTTTGGAAGCGATCGAATTTCTGTCTTACGTTTGAAGGATCCATGGAAGAAGATGAAGGAGACCGGGGAGCGTTCAGCACAGGCTGAATATAACCACTGGCACTGTAGCACTGTGGAAACTCTGAACACTCGAGCACAGATTCAATGGGTAATGGGTATATGGCTGTGTGTACCATGAGGCGTACACGAGGACTCATCGAAGATTCTGATCTTATCAGAAGTCACGGAATTTCTGTCTTGAGAAGGTAACGACTTTGTGACGACTCCACTACCGCTCAGTACACGTTCTATTTGAAAATTGAACTTTGTTATATAGGTATTTGTCTCTACGCTGGTGTGCACCAGAGCGACTCCTTACCATCCTCTTATTTACAGTACGGATAAACTGTTCCCCCGCCTTCTCTGACCTTCTCTGACCCACATGTTTCCATCGCATAACATGATGATGATCGGATCAATGTTAGCTGTTCAGGTGCACCATGAGGCATACACGACTATCTTCCTTCCATCATTCGGCTCCCTATTGAGGTTCATTTCTTGATACATAATGGCCCTGCGCTTAGCACTTAGCACTCGGTTACAACTTCCACATATATCTATCCCTTGTGCGCAGGAGAGTTTTCCCTAACTCGAGTCCGCATGGCAGACTCCCTCCACATTCCCTGTCCTCTCCATATCTCTGGTAAGACTCAACTCTCGCATTACTTGAATTATCAATCCCACTGAATGAATTGAATAGGCGTCTTCGTTGATTTCATCAAGTCGGGAAAGAATGTAGAATTTGCTGAAGTACGGATCGGCAAGTTGCACAGTCAGATCGAACGAAATGCAGAGAAGACTTTGCGACAGACATTTTCTCCACCCATGTGAGTATTTGAGATACTCAAATGACTTGCCATCTAAATCGGCTTAATCATAGGATACTTTCTCTCGCGGATTCGTTTTCCTTACATCTACGGTGCAAGACATTGTTTGGAATGAAGACTGAGCATCAAGACGTTGACTTCGATGTCGAAGACATCTTCCGCGTGTCTGGTACAAGAACAGAACCTGAAAGACAAGGTAAACGGGTAATCGTCGCACTCTCATCTTAGTTGCTCACAAACTCGTCGCCTCATCCACAGAATACATCATCTTTCACAAAAAAATCAAGATCCTCGTCGAGCTTTCCGAAGTAAGGGTCCATTTCTCGCATTCGAACTCATCTAAGTCGTAGATCAGCAGGCTGAGCAGCCTTCCGATGACGGCCTGGCATTACAGCCCACCACTGACGAGATCATTCGGATTTGTCCGAGGTGAGTCAGGATGACCACGAAGTGCCATTCTTCATGTTGAGGCTCCAAAGGTTCCGAATTCTGGTGATAGGAAAGGTATCAGTTTTGCGTGGATCTCGTGCCAGTGTTGACACAATGCTTCCGATAGACTGGCGTTGGAAAATCCTCCCTGATCAACAACGCATTTGGGGTGCAAAATGCGGTGGGCTATTCACGACACTTCGATGTGGAGAGTCACTCATACTCCCTCCATAGATCGCTTCGCATGATATGCCAGGCGAGGCTAACATTGACACCGAATTCGTTTCACACCAGAACGACAGATTTGTTCTCCATGATAGCAAAGGTTTTGAACCTGGGGGCGGGGGCAATGTCAACATAGTCCAAGATTTCATTAATCGCCGCAGAAACATGCCTGCTCTCAAAGATCAGTTACATGCTGTTTGGTAAGGCCTACGTTTTGACGAGTCCGTACGTCAAGCTGACATTGTCAAAGTGTGGAACTTCCATGACCCTCACTGTGTAATGGCTATTTTATTCGTCGTCGTCGCATCCACCCTGACGTTATCTGTGCTCAGTACTTGCGCAGCCAAGAGTTCAGGAACTTGATGGTCAACATGGTGAATAAGCTAGAAGTTGGACCTACAAGCGATCCTAGCAAGACAATGTAGGCCGGTCTTTTACATGACGGACGAATTTTCATCTGATTAAATGTTCACAGTGGTATTGGGCTCTCGATGGTGGGTACTATCGCGGCCATCATGTCTGCCCTGGCAGGACCTGCAGCTCCCATCGTGGTGCCGATCGCGGCAGGTGTCGTACTCGCCATATGGGTTTACGACGTGTACCAGGTGTCGTACGTACCTCAATATACCCTTTATCGAGAGAATATTCACGGATCTTTATCAGCCGCGTGGTACTTCAGCGCGTCATGTCATACATCGTCGACTTAACCCTCGTGTTGCAGACACTTTACCTCGTGTCGGAAAGCCAGGAAGTGTCTCGTAGGGCCATCAAGCTCGCGGTCAGGTCCTACATCGAATCGCCAATCAGCGGAGAAGTTCATACTCGGATTCAGGAGTATGATAAGGAATTGACGCTGCTGGATCGCAGGGGCCGCGATACCCTTAAACAAAACCATTGAGCTGATGCAGTTGTACAGCATTGATGCCGAGACGATGATCGACCTTCGGAAAAAGGTTTCGGATGTGCCTTCATTACCAGATGAACCATGGGAAGACGTCAAGGACTAGTAGCATTCGATTCTTTCTTTTTTGTATAGTTTGTTGGCGTTGGCAGGTAGCGATAACTTAAAAACTACTGTAGTGTGCTACGTTAGACCCTCTTCTATCACTCGAGTGCCCTTGTTACACAAAGCTTCAGAGTCACCTAGGTTCTGTATGCCGCCTACGAACTGACGAACGGCAGTCCATAACGATACTCAGTCCGCCATTCGCATAGGGATGGATCGACGTGAGGGTCAGTCGTATATAAAGCCGAGACAAAAGTCTGTACATCTGCAGTTCGGTTAGCAACAGAGACACCTTGAGGGCCAAAGAATCGAGGACAGCATGTCGATCGCATGGGAAAAACATTCTCGAGGTAGTGCTAGTGAGCGATAGCATTGGTAGCATCCATGATTGTCTTATTTCACAAACATCACGTCGAGTAATGGAGTATGTTATCGTCAGATAGAGACAATTGTTTGGGACGGCTTGAACTTACCTTCACATTATTACTGGTGCAACCACATAATGGTTAGATGACAACATACATTTTCTCTTCGCTTTGGCCACCCGTCTGAAATAACGCCACTCGGCGGATGTCAAATCCATCACGCGAATCGTTACAAGAAACTGTCATTATCCGTAGAAAATAGGTACACAAGAGGTGACTACCTCCTTTACCGCTCAACAGGAAGCCGATCCATATCAGCCCTCCCTTCCTTGATCCACTCCTCCTTCACCAATTTCTCCTTCTCCAAGTAGTACAACTTGTATACCAGCTTGATAGTGCCCTCGCTGACACCAGCAACCAAACCGATGTCTCGAGAAGACTTGGGCTTTCCTAGTAGGTGGCAGGTAAAGTAAATCGCACCGCCAGCGATAGAAACCGGGCTACGACCATCCGCAACGCCATGCTTGCGCGCTGCGACAATGATATCACCGCATATGGACTGGACGTTGGCGGGAAGGTCAAGGTGGTTGCAGTAACGAACGAGCAGGTTTTCGGGGCCAGTAGACGGGTTGCTTCCGTTCGCATTAACCTGTGCAGTAGCTCCAGGTGAAAGATTGAAAGCCTGCTCCAGTGCCTTGTAGCACTGTCCAAGCGTCTTCTTCGACACATGGGTCAAGTTACAAATTTCGCGGAAGGTACGAGGGACGTGTGCTTGGCGGCACGCGATGAATATACACGCGGCGATCACAGCCTCCAGGGGTTTTCCACGAAGAAGCTTCTCTTCGTCTGAGCGCTTGTATAGTTGTTTGGCAATATCGCTGATGGTTTTGGGAAGCGAGAACTGGTCGCACCAGCTGCCGATGTCGCGGAATGCGGTGAGAAGATTTCGCTCCGAGCGTGAGCTCTGTGAGCGGGAAGCTGCACGTTGGAGCTCGCGAGCAATTCCCGTGCCGCCATCACGGAAACTGATGAGCGTATCCAACTGCTCTATACCCTCCAATAGAGGGTCTGACGCTGCACCGACACGGGAAGGATCATCGCCTTCGTCGTTTGCGAACGTCTAACAAGCAATTATGTGTGCAGGGTTATCGCAACAATAAAAGAGACGATAGGACTTACTCTCCATTCACTTCTCGTATCAACAATTCGATCACCCAACACCAGTCCACAACTCCCGCACACAAGATCTCCGCTCCCAAACTCTTCAACAATATTCGGATTTGGATCTCTACACTCTGGGCAAATAAGACGAACGGCCAAGTCTGGGCCGAATGTGGGTTGTTGTATTTTTTGAGCTGCTGCTGCGAGTGGGAAAGGTTGAGCGAATGCCATCCTAACTGGTTACGAGATCCCGTGTGCGGTTTTTGCGAGACTGGAATGCGGTCTGAGCCGCGTTGAATACAACGAATGTGTTTCTTTCTAAAACGTATCTAATGGTGGGAGTAAAATGGCTTCATCACGAAACCGGACATTAGCTCGTTGTTACATACCACTAGGTTCACAAATACAGTCCACGATATTCAACCTGACGAACCTGAGCAGGGTCCGTGGTGAGGGATGATGGTGGTCTAGGACAGGAAGTTGCGCTGCTTGGCTACATCCTGTGCCACGCAGAAAACAGCTTGGATGACTAACGAAGGCACGTTTCCATATTTGGTGTGTTATTACCACGGCCATCTCAGGAGCTAATTATTGCCTGTGCCAAGTGAAAGCGGGGAAGAGATCGAGCATTGCAGGCAACACACTACACAAGTAAATCGTAGCAGCAACAACAACAACAACAACAACAACAACAACAAGCCAATATCATATTCAAGAGCGGGGAAGTATTGCAGTAAAGTGAACAAAATGAAACAGCATGAGTAAAGTATGAAACGCATTGGAGCAACATCAAGTCTGTGAGGGGTAACTGCTGAGCGCTGAGTACGTCAAGATTCGTGAGCAATGAAACAGTCATGGATAGCTGTGTACGGATGCATCCCATAGCGAAAACAGAAGAAAGAAACCATGCGTAGAAAATATAGCATGAGTATTAGTAGTAGGCCGCCTGAGCCGCGTGCGGATCGGTGGGATACATCTCGTACTGCGGAACGTGAGACATGTCGTAGTACTGGGAATACCCGTAGTGCTCGGGATAGTAGTACTGCTGATGATATGGCGAGTATCCGTACATGGTGGGCTCCACTGCCTGCTCCGGCATAGGCTGGTCATTAGCATGACTTGAGCTAGCATCATCCTGCGCGGAAGGATCTTCAGGTGACTGGTAAGGCTGTGACTCAGTATTGGGACTGGCGGGACGTGAGGGCTCAAATGATGCTGCGCTCGTCCTCAAACTGGAAGGCCGGCGACCAGTCTTTATTGGCTTGAGATCCGAATTAGAAGATGGCGATCGGATCTCGATGCGGGAACTCTGACGAGGGAACACAAAGAGGGGATTACCAGTTGTTGGGATCAATGAAACCATTACCAGGAGGTGTGTGAGGTGGCGCAAGGAAATCTGGGGAGCTAGTAGAGTGGTGGTGCATAGGAGAATAAGGAAGCCCTGGAGGTGTCATCATGCCATGCGCTAGCGGGCGTGGTGTGTACATTGTCGGGTGTTGCAGATACACCGGTCGGCCGGTGGCAATCTCATATGCTACACCATGGTGGCCGATAGCAACGCCAGGCGGTAGGGAGGCGCCATACCCATAGGGCGATCCGTATGGAGGTGATGGCTGCGATGACTGTGAGAACACCGTCTGCAGTGGTGGAGGCATTGATGAATGGGCGGCATCAGAGGTCTCCAGGTTCGCTGCGGTTTGCTCGACCTGAAGAAGAGCAGGTGCACTCTGGTCATACTGCTCCTGCAATATGCCGTTAGGCACATCTGCGGTCTCCTTGGCCTGCTGATCTGCGGCCGCACGCATCATTTGCTTCAGAAGCGGTGACGTGATCTTCTCCTTCGATGACGTTGAGGTAGCAGGGGACGAGGGTGCTGGTGCAGCAGGTTTGGAAGGCACAGCAGATACTGATGTAGAAGGCACATGACCGTTGGCTGGAGGCAAAGCTGATTGCGATGTTGGAATGGGCTGCCGTGGAGGCACGAGCTCTGGTCGAACTGTGAAGACATCTTCGATAGGATGATCTGCGACGGTAGTAACCGCCTCTACGGCCTCTACAGCCGGCTCGGGCGCTTTCTCCTTTCCTGCCCTCTTGGGTAGACGCACGACAAACGTCTTCTCGCTCGTCTCTGAGGGTGCATTAACAGATAGTGCGGGCCCTGCTGCTCGAGATGGCCGAGCGGAGCTTCTGATAACCTGACCCTCTTTGCCAGAGAGCTTGACCCGATAGCCTGGACCTTGACCGCCACGAGGTTTCAAAGCGGGGTCGAAATAAAGGAACCCCTCGTGGTGCTTTGTCCAGACAAGTTCGGGCTTCATCGCGTACCACGTCCTGCCCGATGCAGCGGCAGCGGCAGCAGGAGGAATGAAATGTGCTCCAGTGGGCGAGGGCGTAAAACCGCCACGTGCAAAACCACCACGACCACGACCTCCGATAAATCCAGCCCTGCCACGAAGTGGCATGAAACCTCGTGCAGGCCTTGCTACTTGCTGTTGTTGGTGTGGTGCAGCCGCACGCCTCTTTTCATCTCGCTTCTTCATCTCCTCGAAACCGTCGTGGGTCCATGGCCGGTCAATAAGCGGCGTCTCGACTGGGGGTTTCTCTGTCTCTTGAGATCCAGAGGTTTCTGGTGCAGGACGACTTGACTCTGGGCCAGTAAAAGCTCCTCTGCCCCTTCCGCGCACAAAACCTCCATTGAAGCCTCCTCTTCCACGACCCCTACCCTGCCAGCGTCCTCTCCACCACCCACTCAGACTCCGAAGGTCCTTATCCAACAGCCGATCATCGTGACCCCAAAACTCACCAACGGTGGGAACATACGACGGGTCAGCCTCTAACCTCTGCTGATAAGCTTGACGAGCATTGTGTCCAGAAGGGGGCCTAGCGAACGAACTTCTGGATGGTTGACGAGACGTCGATGCCTGGGGCTGATCATCTGCAGGCTCTGAAGCCTCTTCAGTTTGAACAGGTGGGGGCTGAGGGGCCGCACCGCGGTCATACGAAGGCGCTGAGGCTGCGCGCTTGGGCAGGGGGCGCTTTGACGCTTTACCTGTTTTACGCGCGGGCGGACCTAACAAATCATGCTGTGTGATAGAAGGACTATTGAATTCTTCAAACTCTATAGTCGGGAGTTCTGCAGGGCCATTGACAGTTTCCTCAGCGACCATCTCTGACCAATTCCCAGCGGCACTGAAAAAGGGAGTAGAATCGCCATCAAGGTCTTTGACTGCCTGATGCTTGAGCGATGGAATATCTGCAGAGTTCTGTGTCGTATTGGGTGTCAGAATGTGTGAATGGCCATTGGAGACAATGTCTTCGGAGGGAGGTTCGGTGTCGGAGTCCGTTCCACTGGCGACTGAGGAACGATCGTCATCAGATTCGGAGTCAGTTGCAACTTCTCTAATAAACTCCTCATCGCTCTCAAAATTGTCTCTTCCCCTTCCCCTGCGCTTGACCATACGAGTCTTGCGGGGCTGTGGAGAAGACCTTAACTTCGCAGATGAAAGTTTAACATCCTCATGGGATGCAGTAGAAGATACGATAGCGGGCATATTAAGAGCTGTTAGGAGAACGTGAGTGGTATTATTCATGAAGTCAAAAACGTAAAGAAGTGTGAAAACATACTTGTGATATGAATGAAGTCGGATTTGTAGCTCTAACAGCAGAAAAACGGTGAAAAAAACAAGGGGGAAACGGTATAAATTGAGGGATCGATTATTGCGGGGAAGGTGAAGGAGAGAATAACGCTGTAAAAGACAATGAACTAGCAGTCAGGTAGAGGCGTGGTGGAAGTATTTCACAAAGGCAGATGGAAATTGCCGGATTTAGTTCCCAGTCAACTGCGGTGCCGCTCCTTACACTGCCTTACCTTTGACTCAATTCAATGGATCCAACAAGTTTTAATCATCGAACGGCTCAAATTTCTACTGGTCGACTTTATCATTTTATCGACCAAATCCCCAGGAATCATGATACAACTCGACCACCAATAATTTGTTTGCATGGTTTTCCTGATTCATGGTACTCGCCAAGATTTTCTCGATATGACAAGACTTTCAATCCTCAATCAGGTTCGGATGGCGCCACCAGATTGGACCATGGTGTCGACAAGGTTTCCGTGTGATTGTTCCAGACATGCTGGGTTACGGCGAGACCGACACGCCTCATGATTCTTCAGCGTATTCCACGAAAAATATTTGTAATGATATTTCCGCACTTCTCGACTTCCTTGCGATACCCAAAGCTGTTAGTTTGTCCTATCTACTGGACTCATATGCTGAATTCGAGAGGTGTAGGTGGTGATTGGCCATGATTGGGGTTCATATACCGCTGGGAGATTTGCTTTGTGGCATCCGGATCGATTGATAGCACTGGTCTTGTGCGTATTCTTTGAGTCATTCGATACACCACCGACGTGATATGCTTAGGTTATCTGTTCCATACGTCCCTCCAATGACACAGCATATGCCTGTCGAGGAAATGGCTAGAAAATATCCATCATATGGATATCAGATATACTTTGCGTCCGAATCATCAACATCTGAGATCGAAGCAAACGTGTGCATCTTCTTGTTTATCTTGCGCTTTTGACTCAGGTGGTTGAAGCTCGTTCCCTTTCTCGGTCTGGTGTTCAGAACGTCTGACAAGGCTTTACCATGGACAAAGCTAGAAGAGCTCCCAGCTCTTATCACCAATAAGCAAATCGACTTTACCGACGGGTGCCTCCTTGACGAACGTGTAAATGCATCGTCTGCGATAATGGTTTACGCTGATGATCTTTGGCGTAACAGGAATTGCAATATTACGTTTCTCAGTTTCAACGCGGCATGCGGGGGCCTTTGTCTTATTACCGAACCACGAAAACGCGATTCGAAGAAGAGAAAGGTACACGGCTCGTTCACAACGTTACTACGTTTCTTATCTCAGGTCACAGAGGCTCAGCTACCTGCACATCTACCGCCGAACCTTCCTGTTCTCTTCATGTACGGAACCAAAGATGCCTCGTGTCCCCCGTCAGCGGTCCGGAACGCCCACAAATTCATTTCACGACTGAATACTGTCGCCCTCGAGGATGTTGGTCATTGGGTGATGTTGGAGGCGCAAGATCGCGTTACATCAGAAGTCTTGCGATACCTTTCGTCTCTAGGTTTATACCAGAAATCTCAGCTGTAGAACAGTCTGTAAACCACTAGGGTTCAATTGAGAGTCGGAGTCAGCGATGAAGATCAGTTACAAGCGTATGAACATGTCGAGAATGGAGAAGTAACAACGTCAGACCAAAGGAAGAAACATAGGAAGTACAGTATGATCACCGACTGCGAGTCGGCGGCGAAGATAAGCGGAATGATCATATCGAGAATAGAGTAGTAACGATGTCAGCCCAAAAGAAGGAATATAGGAAGAAAGGTAGCGCCACCGACTACGTCGATTTTTATCTCGCTGTTTCATCACGGCTTGCCCGCCTGGTCTGGGCCTCCCCGATCAAATCGTTCAACAACTCAATCTCGTCGATGACCTTCTTCGGCCGCTTTTCCTTGACGACGCTGAGCATCGTTTCATTCGAAACGATATAAACCCTTTGGTTGGGCATATTCGCATTCTCCAGGTTGTCTTTGACGCTCTGGCGGGTCTGCTGAATGAACTGCTGCCGCGCAGTCTGATAGAGCTTCTTCTTTTGATCTTCGTCTTCATCATCATCGCTGTCGTACCCCATATCCTTCATGACGTTACGAATGTGCTGGTCCGCCTTAGAGCGGACGATGTACGTGGGGATCTTGAAACGCCTGCAGTTGGTGAGGATGGCGATGTCCGTCATCGTGAAGCGATTGTCGAACAAGACGATGATGCAGTCAAAGACGTAGAGTCCTTGTGCGTTGAAGTACTGCCAGTCTGGGATCTTGAGCGTGCCCGCGCCAGGAATGTCGTACCAGACATAGGGATATTCCGCATTGGAGTTAGCGTATCTGGCCAGGTTCAGCGTTGTCTCGGTGACGCCAGTGGCGGCAGATCCGCTATCCTTGTTACGCAAGCCACGCAAGGCGTTGATGAGAGATGATTTTCCTCCACCTGCCACGCCGGCTACTGCAAAGTGGAAGAGATCCTCGCGGTATTGAACCCTCCGCTTGGCAGCGAGAACTTCTTGATGTGTGGGCGTCACGACAGGTTGAATACCATCTTTCAACTTGCGTTCAGCCTCCTCCTTGGCAGCATTGGCCACCTTTACTTCTTCCTCCGCTGCTTTCTTCGACACGTTGGCCGCCTCCTGAGCGGCAGTCGCCTTTCTCTTCTCCTCGTTAGCGACTTCCTCAAATTTCTTGGCCTGTTCCTGGGCAGCCTGGGCGTCTTTTTTGGCTTGCTCTTGGATAGCGATGGTTCGCTTCCGCTCCTCCTCTGCTTCCGCCGCTTTCTTCTTCGCTTCTTCATTGGCGGAATGAGCAGCAGCTTCCGCTAGGAAGCGGGCTTCGTTAGCGGCCCGTTCGGCCTGGACCATCGCCATCATTTCCTTATGAGCCTGCCCCTGCGCTGCGGCAGCGGCCTCCATGGCGAGCCGCTGAGCCTCCATAGCCTTGTTCTGCGATTCTTGATTCGCCTGGATGAGCTTGGTGACCTCAGCCCTGGCAGCCTCTGCATCCTTGCGAGCTTGCTCAGCAGCCGCCTCTGCGTGCCGGCGTGCTTCTATGTCGACGAGGGATGGATTGGGCGCACTTGGCCTGAAAAGGCGACCGATCCAGGAGAATAGTCCCATCTCTGAATATGATCAAAAATGGTAATGCGTGGACCTGTTGATCGTTACATCGCACGATGGCTTCGATCTCTCGAGCTGAGGGAACTTACTGGTATGTGTAGGCTTTTGAGAGAGAATTCAGGTAACAGCGTTGGTCGGGATAAGTGCTGTGGATTTTCAGGATAAGAACGAAGCACTGATCTTAAACGATTGAATAGAATGCTGCCTCGAGGCGTTTTTGTGTGGTGTCGTGTGCAGATCAAGGAAGCCACTGAATGCGGGCAGGCGCTGATCACAGGTTAGCTAGGGCTATGGGCTGTATGACATCCGTGAGTTTGTGAAATATGACTTGGAGACGACGAAGCAACGATGATCAAATTGAGTTTTTCATCAATAGAGAACATTCTGTGCGTCCAAAATGCTCATGTTCTTCAATTTCACGCGCCCAAGAAGATCTTCGTGGACCTTCACATAATCAGTATGGCAACACTGGGCTGCACATCGCACGGAAGTTGGGAATGAGTTACTAGATCAAGTTCGATTGGTGACGGTCATGCACATGATGCAGATCGATGTGCTCAATCGAGTTCATCGATAAGAGAAGGTTTTGAAGGAGGTCAAATTTAATCATTAGGCTAGAAGGACTCACAGCTCTCGTCACCGCCGCCTCCCTGACTCGAGGTTGCGCAATGAAGAAGTACGTACTGCATCCAAGGGCTGCACATGCACCGATATATGGAATCTGTGGAAGGATCGGCACTGGCCGAGCTCTGTCAATGAATCGAAGGATGCACCGATGCAGTCTAAGTTAGGATCCACATAGCGCTCAGAGATGATAAGGTTCAAGAATACAGCTGTACCGCTTTCAAGATACTGATCAATGATCACAGTGGTTTGTCAAACTGGCACCAGCACTTGCCACAGCATTTCTTACGTTCACACTTCGGCTCCTAATGCGCGAACTTGCTCACCGTTCAAAGTACGCCTCCGCCTTTGTTGTTGGATCAGAACCGACATCCCTCACGAATCCCGAGAGTCCAGTGGTGTTGTACGCAGAAACTCGGAGGGATGGAATGTATGGATTTGGTACAATGGCAGCGTTAACGTTCACCACTGCATAGTTGCCGTGGTGAGTCTCCTCGAGGGGTTCTGGTATCTCCTCAGGGATGTTGGCTATTGGGTGAATGGGAGCGCAGGACCGCATCACATCGGGCTTGTTTTCGGTTCATTGCGTCTCTGGAGGTAAATCGAATGTAGAATAGGAGATATGTATACACTGAGTCGAGAACTCGAAGTCGAAGATGGGCCACAAGGGGAATGGAAAAGTACAGTGATACTAACGTCAGCACGAAAGAAGAAATATAGCAAGTCTATCACCGACTTATACAGGGTCATAAGACACTCAGAGAAAATGTCTCAAGTCTTATGGTAGGGTTAGGGTTAGCTGCCTGGGTCAAAATTTCATGAAGCATTGGTGTAGACATTTTCATAGTCTACATATACAAAAGAACCACTAATTAGTCTTACTAGCCTCACGAGAGCGCAGATCGTAAGTGTAACAGATTGATGCACAAGGTGCATTTACGAGCAGGAAGACTGAGGGGATGGAGTACTGGTGTGTGAGCAACTTGAAATGCAAGGAGACAGAGTACTGGCATGCCAGTGACTTGGGTTTCGGGGAGATGGTGTACTGGTGTGAGAGCAACTCGCAACGTGAAGGGATGGAGTCCTGGTGCGCGAGGAACATGCCTAAGTGAATAAATGTGTCAGGACTCAGCATCATCATTTGCAAGAGGAGTGACTTGAGTACCATGGGAGCACCATTTTTTATGATTGACAGAAGGTGGTGTGGTGAGTAATTATATCGCGGGCCTTCAGGGACGTTCTAATGAACAAGTATAATCTCAGTCTCTTGGAAAAGGCTCGTGCAACGAGCTAAGTACCTAATGAACAAGTATACTAATGACTCGTTAGCTGCGTTCTAATTGATACGTAGAGACTATGTACTCACATCTCAGTCTCTTGGAAATGGCTGAGATGCGCTCATGCTACTGGTGGCATTCTTATAGTAAGCTATGTAGAAACAAAAAATATATCAAATGAATGAGTAACATATTGCAGGACTCGAGCTGACATCAACACATCGCTCGTCAATGTCCATTTTGGCTTGGGCTTGGACCACCTGTCACTCTCCCTCCTCAACCATCTTGGATCGGTCGGTTTTCTTCATCTCTGATTGTTCTGATCGTTCGAACTCCAACAGGTGGAGTGTGTGATCAACATTGGCATTGGATGACAGAAGGTTCACATAGGGCTCATTATCATCAGCTTTGGGATTAGATGAGAGCGGATGCAGATAAGGCACTTCATCATGAATAGATTTGAGCTCTGCAGCAGCTGGTGGAGTCTTTGTACTCTGTGGGTGTGGAGGGTACTTGAACACACCAGAAAGTGACAGGAATTTGAGTACTTGCCAGTGGCACATTTGCTACCTGTGTGTTGGTATGTGCTGTGCAAGGATCTACATTTGTTGCATCTTCTTCAAATTCAGTGTGAGAGAGAAATCATAGGTGTGTTTTTGAAGCTTTGCAAGCATCATGATGTGTGTTTGCTAGTAGTGTGGAGCTCAACATTGCACTTGACAGGCAAGAGATGAATTCAAACTCCACTCTGCTGCAGCGACTCATACCATGCCCCCTCATCGGTCTATTCACAATCAACTCCTTAAGGAGATTGATACTGCTACTCTGGAGGTAGCAATGGCTCTTTATGATCATGTTATGAAAGATGATTCTGACTTGGACTCCAATTCTGATATCATCACAAATCTCTCCCCACTCTCCCCAATATCCCCCTATTTCTCTGATACTAGCGGCAACTTTAGTAACTCTAGCGGTATCGTCACACACTACAGTTGCCTCCTCAGTGCAATATCTGCTCTTCGCAATGAGGTTGAAGCTTCAGACATCTTCAATCAACCAAATCACCCTATTCCATGAGGTCCACAGATCCAGCTCTTAACTCACTTTGCCAAGGATCACCCCCACTTGTTTCACCAGAAATTGTGTGTAAATCCTGATATTTTTGATGCCATCTTAGATCAGATCAGCGGTCACTTGATTTTTCAAAATAATTCAAATAACCATCAGCTCCCCATTGCCCTACAGCTTGCCATCTTCCTGAATCGTGCCGGGCACTATGGAAATGCAGCTTCAAATCAGGATATTGCCCAATGGGTGGGGATTGGTGTTGGGTCTGTCACCAATTGTATGAACCGAGTAATGGTAGCACTGTTAGATCAGCACGACAAGTTTATATCCTTCCTGACGGCCAGTTCTGATGATGCGGAGAAGGCCCGTGAGTGGGTAGAGGACAAGACCTGCCCAGAGTGGTGAAATGGCATATTTGCCATTGATGGATCTTGTCATATCCCATACCTCTGGACCCAGAACTCCAGATTCTACCCTATGAAAGTCTGGGTCTCCATCCTATTCTCTGTCCTGCGCTCCGCTTTTATCTCCAGACTCACTCCTATCTCCTTTTAGAATAACTGTTCTCCGGCTCCCTCCAGTTCCAGTATATTTGATTCCTCCACCACTCTGGACTGGCAGGTCACCTCCAGAATGTTTTGATATTCAACTCCCTTGGATTCTCCTAGTACCACTCAGGAATACTACTTGCTCTCCCACCCACCATGATCCATTGATCAATAGGGTATAGAGCAAAAATCTTTTCCGGGTTTTACCACTGGAAATGCCATTGACCTCCGATGTCCAACAAAAGTCTGCTTTACTGCAGTACTCCTATCTCTGGACTAGCCATGTTCTCCTTCTGCTGGTTTATGTCCAGTTCATCCTAAAAAGTACTATTGCATATATACAAACAGGCCACTCATATGTGTGCTCAGTTTATTACCCATACTCTTCCAACTCCCAAGTCAAATTACCCCATCTCACCGCTAAATCTATACTCCTCTGCTCCGACCACTCCTCCTCTGATTCCCATTCCGGCTCTCCTCCACCTCTGCTTCCGTTCCTCCTCTGCTCTGCTGCCTTCTGGGGAGTCTTCCCTTAGGAAAGAACTCCATCTTGCTTCTCCATCTACTCCAGATTGTCCTCTGTTGTTATGGACAGTTGTCTGGAATGACTCCTATGGACAAGATCTACAATATCTCCATATTCTCCATGACGAAATTGCTAGAAGGGACTTCATGAAATATCTGGAAAAGTGTCCCAAGAAGATCAGCAATGACATATCATGTTCTGAACACCAAGAACATATCAAACTCGTCTGAAGGTACCCTTCTCTCCATGTTCAACATCTCAATGTTGTTCCCATCCTTACTGGGAAGGAAACACCATGACAAGATTTTCATCAGGAGGAATTTGTATGGTTTCCTCAAAAACAAATATGTGACAATGCCAAAGAAGAAACCAGGCCATGCAGAAGCAAGGGCGTCTAAGAATGCCATAGAAGAAGTGGAAAGATCACAAAGTTTTACCAAACAAGTTCATTACTTTTGGCTACTTCCGTTCCAACTACCCCATCACGTGACCAGAACTCCGCACTCCAATATCCGATTAACCAGTTACTCTGGCCTGCTAGGAGCTCCGGAATGGAGTTCCGAACCCTACACCTGCTGGCAAACCCGGTCTTCAGCTTATCTCTCCGCCGGTACCTCTGAGTACTAAGTTCCAAGCAAGACACAACCAATTTCATTGTCACATGGATATGTACATTAAAAGTCCAGAAAGGACCATGGGAACTAGCTACCCTCAGACCTCCATTTCTGCAGAGTCTTCTGGCTCCAGCTGAGACTCCAACTCCGCCTCACTAGGCCCCTTCTCTGCCTTGCTCTCTGTCTCTCCCTCCAGTTTCTCCATGTCACTGCTGGAAGAACTATTCCCAGCCTCTGGCACTTCTGCCAGGTCCACCCCAATCTCCGCCTTCTTCCCAAGGACCTCCTTCAGGACCTTCCCCTAGCCTTGGAAGTGCTCTCCAGTGTGACTCCAGTCATGCAAAATATCTCCCGGACTTCTGTCTGGGCCTCATCCCTCTCCTCCTTCTGTTCCACCTGCTGCAGCTCCATCTGCTCCACCAGATGGGTTATGGCCATCGCCAGGGCCCCCAGCTGGGCATTTGTCTCTGCCTGTGCTAAAACCATATTGTTAGCAGCCTTGACCCACTCTTGGTCTTTGACCTCTGCTATGGCTTCCTCCTCTCCATATACCTTCCTCCTCCAGGAAGGCCCGCCTGCATCCTCATTCACTCCTTCCCTGGCCTCCGTCGCCTTTTCCCTTGTCCTTTTCCAACTCTTCACTGGTGCGGCTGGTTGCAGCTCCCCTCCGCCAACCCTACAGGAGGCCTTCAGGCCCACACACTGGTTGCAGGCCTTGGCCTTGGCCCTGGCCTTGCCCTACTCTGGTTAGTCAGCAACATGGTGGACAGAAGACTGGTACCTACCTTAGTCTTGGCTAGTGCATCCCGCACCAGCCCCCATGTGCAAGTCCAGCTGGTGGCCTTGCACCACTTGCATCTGTTCTCCAGAGGAATGAATTCCGACGTGCCTGAACCATAGAAATTAATAGTATTCCACACCAAGTGTAAGGGGAAAACTCACCTCCACTACCCTGCGTGCTTCCTCCGCCATCCTAACCCTCTCTGCCTCCGCAGCAACTCTTGCCTCCTCTGCCCTTCTGGCCCGTTCAGCCACCGCAGCAGCCTTTTCCTCCTCCACCTTCCTCACCGCAGCTAACAACACCTGCAGCTCCTCAGAAGACATTCTGGCAAAGAAGTTTTGGGGAGCAGACATTATGAGTATTGATAATGATTGAAAAAGTTTCTGCAGAGAAACCTGCCAGCCCCACACTCTTATAGTAATAATCCAGCACTGTGGAAACTCTGCTCCATACCTATCAATCCACTCTGGTCCAATCTCCATTGTTTCCATCCACCTTGCAGCACAACTTCTCTGCCTCACGCTGTGGACTCTGTTCCACATGTCTTGGATCTACTGGCAACATCCGCTTCTCATTTTTCCTGCAAATCCGAGTATTTGTCCAGGACCTTAGGGGTTCGGTCCTAATGGGGGGATAATGTCACACTGTGCACACCCAATCAACCTCAAGCCCCTACCTCTGGACCTCCATATCTCCGAACACCTCCAATTAACCGTACAAAACAAAAACAAAGTTACAAACAATACGGAAAAGATGCGTATATATGTACACCTGGATACTAAGGAAACTAGCTAGAGATCATCAGTCTCCATATCTCCACCAGAGACTCCAGCACCACGATCACCCTCCACCTCCTCCTTCGCTGCCTCCGCGTGAAAGCCGTTCCACATCCCTTCCAGGAACAAGACCTGGAAAGTCCTCTGCTCCTCCACAAACCTATCCATGGCTGCCCAGCTTTCCTCTGCTGCTGCGATACCCTGCTCCAGAAGTCCATTGGTCCGCACCAATGCTGCTACTATGTTGTTGGCAGCGGCCACCCAGGCTTGGTCATCATACTCTGCCCATCTGTCCTCCTCTGCAATCACAGTCTGCGGATTGGAGATCAACTCCATGTTGTCGTCCATCTCCGCCAGACTTTGTTGATGCTTCTTTCCCTTTGCCCAGGGAGATGGAGTCCCTTCTGCTCGCTCCCATTTCTTCCCCTTGTCAGCATTGACCAGTGGAACACCACCAGAGCACTGTGCCTTCAGTTGGTGGCACACATCACAGTTCTGGATCTATTGGACTACCTATTAGAATACTCCAGGAAAAAACCGATGTATACTCATCCTGTGGACCTAGATGCCTGAGTCCAGGTGCAGCTCTTCTGCCACTCTACACAGGAGTTGCAAGATTTCTCCAGATCCTCGGAGGCACTGGACCTATGGGTAGCCTAGCATCCGCCTAAGTGCCATCAAAAGTTGATGAACTATCAAAATCACCATTAACATCCCTACGTGCCCCAAAGACACTGTCTTGAGCACTCTCCTTCGCTGTCTCCGCTGTAAGGAGCAAATTCCACTATGACCTCAGCGCAATAGTGGCCGATAAAGTAGTGAGCCTATAGTGTTCAGTTCGACCTGGGGGAAGCAGAACAAAGCAAACCGAATTGCTGCCTCAGTATAAAATACGAGTGGCGCGACAACAAGTCAAAGAGCAGCCGATCCAATATATGCTCAGCACGAACAGTTAGATTCCTACTGACCGCTATGCAGTTGCAAGTAAATGCGGCCGATTGAGATAGTCGATGATGAACGGAAGATTAAGGAGAACGTGCGGATGGACACGGGAATAGGATCAGAAAAGAACAGAACACAAAAGACATGGCTTCTGAGTGAGAATCAACTACTCTTCAACAATAGGTGTGTGCTACTTAAGTATGGATTGGTTATAAGGTAAGTAAAGGAGATAAAGTCGCTTGGAATGTCCAGACTGCCTTGTGGCTCAGTAAGGATAAGCGCACGAAGCACAGTTGACTTCTAAGAGTATGAATGGGGATGTTGATCATAGAGTCGGTAATATGAGGTAAGAGTACTTATAATCATTAGTTATACCAAATAAAAGTGTACTATGCACCAGTGAACAAGGATGGATGGATATGGGGTTTGTCCGAGTACCTGTGAGCTAGAAGGGTAAAACATGCGCATGACCAACTGATGATGCATGTTGATTCTTCGTTGGCTGACTCGCTTGCGCGAGCGGCTTGAACGCGTATGAGCGGGAGTCCAATCAGCAAGGAGTCGGATAGAGCGCGGATGGTCAGATGTATATTGCACTGGATCGGTGGAGCAAGGAAGTACCATATCGGTGCCGATCAGCATCCCACACTGCAATGTTCTTCTGCTTCTGCTCCTCCTCATGTTTCCACTCCGCTGCCACCCTCCTCTGCTTCTCCTCCACCTTGTTCTTGTTCTTGTTCTTGTTCTTGTTCTCCTCCTCCCTCTGTTTGCCCTCCTCCTCTTCCTCCAGGTGAATGGCCTCCTGCAAGTGAGTGAACTCTGCCGCCATTTCCACCTGTCTCTCTTCCAGGTTCTGCTTGGTGGACTTCTTGCTGCCTTCTGGGTTGTTGTACATAATGAGCTGGATAGAGAGGGGGATGAAGGGAAAATGTTGCTTCCACCCCAAAAACCTCCGGCACATTTTTACCATCTCTATGCAAACTCCACTGATGCCTCATGTTCCTAACCAACAATCCAGTTCCCCAGCCTCATGGGCTCAGCCCTCAAGGGGGGATACTGTCATATTGTTAGGTACTGTGCCAACTCAAGAAGCAGAGGGGTCGGGGCTTGGCTTCAGCTCTTGCACTGTGCCCTTAGCTGAGTATGTGCCCCAAATTTGGAGCGGGTCCAACATTGTCCGACAATAGGACAAGTGGACTGCTTAGGTCTGCTTTGAGGGTTGAGAGGCAAGTGCTACTAGCGGCGGGCCGACTAGGAGTGGAGCGGAGGAGGCAGGGGATAATGTGGAGGGTGGAAAGGAGCAGGGGGAATACTTGATAGGAGCGGGGAAGTAAGGAGAAGACTTAGAGCATGGCTCTAAGTTGGAGCGGAGGGTCAGAGGTGACAACAAGATGAAACTTGTGTCCAGAGGAGGCAAAGTCCTACTGAGAATTCTCACAAGTAGTAACTGCAAGAAGACAAGTAATATTAAGACTGGGGAAAATATCTAAGTACAGGATATGTTATATACTTCTAAGTATGAGGCAGTGGTCAGGATAACTATGTTGTAAGGCTATGTACCAAGGATATAATTTGTAAGTGCTTACACAGGCAAAGACATAAGTCAGAGCAGATATTAATATGTACACATCGGATCAGTGATAGAGCAGTAAGAGGAATTACCGGTGATCCAGAAGTAAGGGTCTATGTACCGAAGGGGGAAGTATATATCTAAAAGGGGAAAGCGGTTCCAGTTGAATGGAGACATTATGGAAGGAGACCGGTTGGGCGGTCAAGCAGAAGCATAGGAGCGGAATGCGGACTGTGATTGGACAGAGCGGAGGATGGATGGAGTAGAGGTGGTCGGAGAGCGGAGCAGATATTAATATCAGAGTGGTCGGATCAGGTATATGACACATATCCTGTACCTCCAGACCTGGAACTCCGGATTCTACCCTATGAAAGTCCAGGTCTCCATCCTATTCTCTGTCCTGCGCTCCGCTTTCATCTCTGGACTCACTCCTATCTCCTTTTAGAATAACTGTTCTCCAGCTACTGGTTGTATACCTTTCTGCTTTGCTTACTAATCTGTCCATCTGCGCTTCATTTCTAACTTCATTTCTTTGATCTGTTATACACTTACTAATAGACTTCCCATATGCTTTGGGCATAGCTTTTACTTTGCTGATTGATTACTTACATGATACTTACAGTATACAAACTCCTGTAAAACTCTGGTACCTCCTCAGTTCGAATATCATCTTAGTTCTGCTCATTCCTGCTTCTCCAGACTTGAGTCTGATCTCCTGTCCACCTCCGAGTCTTAGGGTTATTCCTTAAGACTACATCTCCGGCTCTACCTTAGGGTAGTCTAACTCTGTTTTGTTTCTACTCTGGACTTGTCTGAAGTAGCCTTGCTCTAATCACTCCTAGACTTCTGGAGTTCTGCCAAACTTCCCCCTGTGTCTGACCTCCGGACTTACCTGAACTTCCATCAGACTTCCCTTCTGCCCCTCAGAAATTAAGGGCATGTACTCGGGTAAGGGGCACAGCACACGAGCTGAAGCCAAGTCCTTTGAGTTACCTTTCCCTTGAGCACAACCTTAACAGATCTGCAGCTAACCTGATGAATAAGCCTGGCCTCCATGGCAAGGTATTTTTCAACAGGAAAAGTACTTACTCTCTTAACTGCCAGGTTTGTTTGTTTTTCTGCAATTTTGTGTGTTCAATTTAATTTTTGTCACAGTTGGTCATCATGCCACATAACCTCCCTATAGCCGACTACTCTGTTGGCCATGCGGGAAGCACACACAATGCATACACATTTCAATCAACTTGGCTTTATCAGGAGCATGTGGACCTACTTGCTGACAACCATTGGGTATGTGCAGATAGCACATATCCAGTAGAGATGTGGTGCATTCCACCATTCAAGAAACCATGGAATGGAGCATTGACACACAATCAACAAACATTTAATTATCACCTTTCACGTGTATGTGCTCTGAATGTCCTGAAAATTCTGTTAATTTAAGGTGGTTCAGGTTCGGGTTCAGGTTGAATATGCCTTTGCAGCTCTTAAAGGACATTTCCAGTCTCTTCGGGAACTTCACCACCCTATCACTGCAGAAAAGGACCTTCACTATTCAAGTTACTGAATTTTATGTCACTTCATTCTCCACAACATGATTGTTCAGTTTGAGGAACAGCACGAGAGCGAAGACACGGTCAAGTGGGCTCATCGAGAAGGGGCACAGTTTGTGGCTGCAGTGGAGGATGGTATAGGTGATGACCCTGTTGATGGTACTCCAGGTCAACAGCATCAGATAGAGCTCATGAATCTCTTACTCGACAGTCCTTACAGTGCTGATGCAGAGTGTAGAGACTAGTAGGTATCCCATTGAAATTTGTATTAGTACGTGAACAACAAAGGACATAGGCATATTACAAGCATGCTAAATGAAATGAAACGAAATGAAAATGAAAACAACAGCTAACAAAACAAATGTTTGATATACAAACAAGCGTGGTGTGGGGAATTCCCTTACTGTAGGCATAAAACCCCGTCCTTTCTGCATCGCCTCACATCAGTTCTGTGTATTCCGCATGTTCCGCATTTCCCGCGCATCGTCCGATGGGTTCCGCATTCCCGCACATCCTTCAGAACCCACCTGCACTATCCGATATTCCCACGCATCATCGGACAACCTTCGCATGTCCTGTCCCCATCCTTCCAGGTCCATTGGTACACTGTATCTCTCTTCCCGTTGCTTCTAACGTTATCCAGATCACACTGACACATGCCCTTATGGCATGGACCCCTATTGCAGAGTATTGCACCCATGTGCACTGCCTGCCTTCACTTCCGCTTCCTGAGAAGTTTACTACCTGTACCTCAGTGTTCCTTGAAAATAATCTTCCCTTTAAGTAGTGGTACTCAGGGCTTGGGTGTTTTTTGGATTGAATCCCATCTTTTACCTTCCAACTTTTCTCTGACTTTTCCTTCACCTTACTAGAGGACTGCTTTGACTTATGCCCACTATCAATCTAACTGTCATATACCTGATCTGACCGCTCTAATATCAATATCTGCTCCGCTTTCCAATCACCTCCGCTCCATCTATCCTCCGCTCCATCCGATCATCATCCGCATCCGCTCCTATGTTTCTGCTCAACCGCTCAACCGGTCCCCTTCCATAACATCTCCATTCAACTGGACCTCTTTCCCCTTGACCCTTACTTCCGGATCACCAGTAATTCCTATTACTGCTCGATCACTGATCCGACACATACATATTGATATCTGCTCTGACTTGTGTCTTCACCTGTGTAAGTACTTACAAATTATATCCTTGGTACATAGCTTTACAACATAGTTATCCTGGTCACTGCCTCATACATAGAAGTATATAACATATCATGTACTTGGATATTTTCCTCAGTCTTAATATTACTTGTCTTCTCACAGTTACCTCTTGTGAGAATTCTCAGTATGACCTTGCCTCCTCTGGACACAAGTCTCAACTTGTTGTCACCTCCAACCCTCCGACCCTCTGCTCCGACTTAGAGCTGTGCTCTAAGTGCTCCCCTTAATTCTCCGCCCCTACTAATATTCCCCTTATCCCTTTTCCCATCCTCCGCATTATCCCCCACCTTCTCCGCTCCGCTCCTAGTCGGCCCGCCACTAGTAGCTCTTACTTCCTGACCCTCCAAGCGGACCAAAGCGGTCCACTCGTCCTATCGTCAGACAACGTCAGACCCACTCCAAATTCGGGGCACGTACTTGGCTAAGGGTGCAGCACAAGAGCTGAAGCCAAGCCCCGACCCCTCTGCCTCTTGAGCCAGCACGGTACCTAACACTAACCTTGTGATATACTTCCTTTGACTTGATCTGCAAGTTCTGATGAATCTGTATGTTCTGCATTGTATCCAGTTGAGTTCCATGTCATTCTGTTCCATTCCACTTGAGTTCCGCTTGAGTTCCACTTGTTCCGCTTGAGTTCCGCTTGTTCCGCTTATTCCGCATTTTTGCGGATCCTCATCCTACCTATGGTAGGGTTGATTAGGGTCGTTTAGACAGAGACTAGTACTTCCCAGTAGCAATCCCCTTTAGGGTCGAACATGCTTGTTCTCAAGTGAGGCAGCAGGCAGCAAAGACCCAACTGTGTAGTAGATCGATTTCTCACTACTGCACTTGTTGTACCTACAGCGGGCATGCAGCAGTCAATGATGGTGGCCAAGGATGAAATGAGCACAATCAGGATGCATGTGATGAAGATTTGGCCACAGTTACTTTGTGCTGGAGTTGGAGCTGTTGCTGCTGGAGCTGGAGCTGCTGCTCTCCTAGCTGCAGCTTGAGGTGGGGAAGTTCCATCTCAGATGCATATGTTTGAGCTTTGGCTTGCTCGAGATGAATGTCAGCATTCTTTGATTCTAGCGTGTGCTGATGATCAAGTGAAGAGCTCGACTGCTGAATCAACTGTTTGCTAAGAGAAAACATCTGGTCCCATTCCTTTTCATGGATCTGCAACTTGAGCATTTTCTGGTTTGCTTTCACAGTATGGTGCTCAGATACCACCCCCTGCACAAGCAACTGTGCCTTGTCACAAATGTCGGCGATATCAGACTGCACACATTTGATGTTCTCAGCCTTGGTGGAGAACAATGTGTTTGTTGTTGGTGAAGATGTGGGAACAGATTCAGATGAAGAGTGTGATTGTACTGATGAGCTTATGATAGAGGATGCGATAGAAGGAGGGGGCTGGTGAGGCTTGAAAAGAGATGTGCGGCTGGAGGCACAGTTTGCATGAGGTGTAAATGATGCTCGCGAGTTGGACACTGGGGTGTGGGGTATGTGGTGGCACTGTAGGTGAAATAATAGTATCTGGAGGTGGTGAAGGGGAGAATGGGCATGGAGGCTTGTCAACACGATTCTCATGGGGAACTGCAGCCTCATATCCTGCTGTCTCATAATCTTCGTCGCCATCAGGATTCATCTTACTGTCACCACCGTTCACCTCGCTGGTCATTGCACTATCATCCAGCATGTCATATTTGTTGTTGTTGCCTGCAAATGATGCAGTTTGGGGGAGCTGCTGGGTATGATCAATACTGGTTGGAGGTCCTGAGAGGGGTCTGGGCCATCCAGTTCATCAGCATCAGCATCATAAAGATCTTCATTGTCATCCGGAGCCGGGCAGCTACCAGCAGCAGATGTAGAAGCAGGAGTACTTTTCATCTGCATGATAGACAGAAGGTGGCTAGAGTGATCAACTTTCGGATCAGATGAGAATGCCTGGGGGGCATATGATGGGATGCTGCACCACAACTCATCAAGGTCATCATAGGTCAGAAGCTGTCTTAGTACATCCTCTACAAGCTAATCAGCATCAGTTGTATTTTATCAAATAAAAAATTCACCACGTAGATTGGCTGCTGCATTTGGATCAGTGGGTTCAACTCCACCACTGGTCTGGGTAAACCTCGTTCATTGTGTTCAATTTTTTTAAGACTAGGTAAATTAACATATGAAAGTGAAGGAAAGAAAAAACACTCACAATGCAAGACAGTTTGCAACTGCTACTGCAAACTTGTTTGGATATGCATTATATTGGCCACTATAGTGGGCATCATTGGCAAAGACCTCCTGTGCAATGATGGCATGGATGCGACCCTTTTCTTTGCCAGAAGGCTGCATGCCACTGTTATTGTCCTGCACGGTTTGGTTCTTCTTCTTCTTCTTCTTCTTCTTCTTCTTCTTCTTCTTCTTCTTGTCCTCACTGAAAAGTATGCAACAGTCCCCATGATGCACCATAAGGTAGGCAACAAGGGGGAAGGTGCAATCTATGCACCCACTTTCCCATTTCATGCTGAATCTTGGGGGGCGGACAGGGACAGTAGTAGTGCTGGTGGCGGCCATGGTAGTGCTGGTGGCAGCAGGAGGAATGTTGACAGGGGTAGGAGCACTCACATCTGTGGCATTGGCTGAATCAGCACGTCTTCCTCTTGTCCCTCCCCTAGTCCCTCTTGTCCCTCTTGTTTGGCCTCTCACCCTACCTTGGGTGATCCTCTGTGGGTTGCTCATGGATGATATAGGGACAGTAATAAGTCTTCACAGTCGTTCAGACCACCATACACGAGGGTGAAGGGCAGGCATCATACTTAAAACTCTGCATCAAAATTGCTGCATGGATGCTGTGCATTGGACTGTGTTAGAGTGCTTACTGAAATTTCAGGAAGTGACTATGAATATCACTAATATACATTATACATCTATTTTCTTGCTGTCCCACAGTGGGACCATTGAAAACTCAATACAGTATTGAAAATATACACTAAGGGTGTATACATCATGGGATAGTCAACTGTACATGTACTCATCAAGATTTTCTTGATATGATAAGACTTTCAATCCTCAATCAGCTGTTCAGATGGTGCCACCAGATTGGACCATGGTGTCGACTTATGGGTTCTGTGTGATTATTCCTCACAATGTTACTACATTTCTTATATCAGGTCACAGAGGCTCAGCTACCTGCACATCTACCACCAGACCTTCCTGTTCTCTTCATGTGTTGTTGTGTGAGGTAATAGTTAGCAATCAACTGACATACCTGCAATGTGGTCTGTGCACTGATAAGTAACAGAGTTGCAGACTATCTGAGATACGAAGATATATGTAGTATAAATAGATACAATGGATAAATCCAAAAGTATAAGTGAAACAATCCTCCTATTGCTATCTATAAGCATTGTCTTGAACCTCTCACTTGTATCCCTCATTTACATGAGGTTATGAGCCCTGACGTCTGCAAACAATAAATTTTAGCTATATATCAGATGAAATCTAACTGCAACCTACCATTATGACCGACAACAAACAACTGTCGCTATCATTGCTCTATTGTATTGAACATCTTGGGGAGCATAATTGGATCCTGTGGAAGATGAAGGTTCAAGCTATCTTTGATGACAAAGGACTGGATGGGTACATCAGTGGCACTATTCCTAAACTGGAAGTGGGACCTGATCCTGTATTGGATGAAAAGAAAGCAGCATCGCCAAGTGGAACTCAGAAGATCATAAGGTGAAAACTGTGTTGGTATTACTCATAAGTGATACACAACTTGTACACCTTGCTGGGGCTAACACAGCCAAAGAGATGTGGGATCAGTTGAAACTCGTGAAAGAATCATGAGGTCAACAAGGAGCTTACACTTGGAGGTATAAGTTGTATCAGACCCGTGCTTCTGAGACTACAGACATACCTGGTCATATTGTCGATCTCAAGCAAATCCAAGAGAATCTACACCTGATGGGAAGTGCAGTAACCGATCTTGACTTCTGTACTATCCTGTTAGGATCATTGCCGCTGAGCTGGGAAAATTTTTGTGTAACTTACAGAAAGGATAATATCACGTCACATGAGCTTATTGTGTTGATCCATGAAGAAGATCACCATCAGAAGGAACTGGAACTTGAGTTCACAGAGAGCAAGATGGTGACAAAGGAACCAAAGAAGAGGAAGTTTAGCGAAAGACTTAAAAAGAGAGGGAACTTTAAGAAGTGCAAGGTATGCAAAAAATCTGGGCACACAGAGGACGACTGTTGGCATAAAGCCACACAGTGTTTGAACTGTGGTAAGCCTGGGCATGTGAAAGATGACTGTTGGAGCAAGGGTGGTAGTAAGGCAGGTGAAGGCCCCTCCTCTAAGAAGTGCTTGAAGAAAGACAAGGCTAAGCTTGTCCAAGAAACATCACTCCAGGAGGAGGATAGTGCCATGGAAGACATTGCCTATGTAACCAATGTCAACAAGAATGTAAATGTAACAGATGACGAATACGAGAAGCTTATCTGGTATGAGTGGTTTGCCAATTCTGCATCATCAGCACACATAACAAAGATTCAATCAGCTCTGACCGATTATGTGCCGCTCAAAGGGCACTGAGTGACGGGAATAGGGAATGAATCCCTTGATGCACTCGGCAAAGGCACAATTGAACTTGTTAGTACAATCGGCAATCAACTAACTAGAACAAAGTTTTAAAATGTCCTGTATGTACTGAGTGCGACCAATAATCTCATATCAGTCACAAGACTAGATAGAGAAGGGGGAAGCACTGAGATGGGAAGTGGTAAAGTCACCCTTAAAGGAAAGGGAGGACATACCATAGCTAAAGGTCAAATGGCTAGAGGATTGTACAAGTTAGATTCTCAGGCTCAATTGTATCCGAAAACCTGAGTACATACTGTACAAGAGAGGTTGAAGACGGATTGGATAACGTGGCATCGAAGGTATGGACATATTGCATGTAGTGGGCTGAAATGTTTGTGTCAGGAAAATACGGTAGATGGGTTAGAAGTCAAAATGGACTCACCCATCATTGACTGCGAGGCCTGTATCCAGGCCAAACAGGTACATAAACCATTTCCTGACAGTGTGGGCAAGAGATCCGATAAACCTGGGAAACTGACTCACAGTGACCTCTGGGGACCAGCGAGAGTGCAGTCAATTTGCGGAGCAAAATATTATGTTTCTTTCATAGACAACTACTCATGAAGATGTTGTGTTGTGTTTCTGAAACATAAAAGTGAAGCTACCACTAAAATGAAACAACACCTTACTTACCTAGAGAGACACTGGGAGAACAGACCTAAGAAAGTTCGTGTTGATAATGGCAAAGAGTACATCAATAACGAGCTACTTACAATGATAATGGCCAGAAACTTACCTGAACATCTATGGGTGGAGGCAGTAGCACATGCTGCCTACCTTAGAAACTGTGCACCGACACAAGTGCTGGAAGGTGCTACTCCTGAACAATTATGGACATCAGTAAACTACAATGGTCTGTACAGAGCTGTACAGTTCACCAGAGCCCTAGCTTGGTCCCCACTAGACAGACTGTCACAGACAGGCCCATCTCTGTACAGCTCTGTACAGAGCTTCCCAGAGCTCCACAGTAGCCCTCTAGTTACACAGAACCTTCCAAATATATTAGAAATCGCTTTTTTTCATTTGTATATTAACTCAAGTCAAACAGGTAAAATTAAATTAAAACAAATGGATTGCAAAATAAGCAACTACTCTACTGGACTCATCAATACAAACAGTGAGTAAGGGTGTGAGACAATCAAAGTGCAAGAGTGCAAGAGAACAGGTCGTCATCATAGTCGTAGCCATAGTCATAGTTGTTCGTTGTTGTCATGTCATTGTCATTGTCATTGTCGTTGTCGTGTCGTTGAGTTGCCATCATTGTTGTGATAGCACTGTCATATTTTTTTGTGGCGAGGGCAGCATCTCCACTTGCACAAGTTGAGGGAGCAGGAGGAATACCGGAGAGCTCAAACTTGCCAAGGAAGTTGTTGTCCTTCATGCAAGCACACTCATCTTCATACACCTGAATCAAGACAAGTTGTCAGTAATGTATATATAAACGAAAAAGAAAAAATTGCACCTATTGCGCGCGGCACAAATGAATGAGCATAAACACAAAACAAGCATGAAAATACTAGTAAGTAATGTACATACATACATACATATAAAAAACACACCTCTGAGTGGCAAGAAAGACAGGCAAGAGATGGGGCATGATGGGGCACTAGAGACGGGCAAGAGAGACAGGCAAGAGATGGGGCAAGAAGACAGGCAAGAGATGGGGCATGAGAGACGGGTGAGAGACGGGTGAGAGATGTAGTGAGAGATCACACAGGGTGCGAGAGACAGGTGAGAAACAGGGCATGGGAACACAAGAGACAAGGCAAGAGATGGGGCATACAAGCACGAGAGATGGCACGAGAGGAGAGGGCACGAGAGGCCCATCAGTGCTAGGGAAGATGGTGACTTGCACCACTGCCAGTCATGTTGTGTTCAACCTAGAACGAGTTTATGAGCACATTAATAGAGTGAACAGATAGAATTAAAAAGAAAAAAAAAACTCAGCAAAAGTCACATACTCAAAGCCATAGCACAGGTACTATGTTACAGATAGAGAGGACTTGGAGCTTGTTGTGGTGGACATTGGAGTTGCATTTCGATGTGGGAGCAGCACTGGGATGAGGACGGACATAGGTAGTACATACTAAATATTAAGAACTACTAGTACATGCAGGACTTAATGAAAATTTGTGAAGTTTGAAGTACTAAATGTTGGAGCAAGTGAAATTGCTCTGGTGTTCTGTGGGCACTGTGGTGGTCTGAGGCACTAGCTGGTGCTGGGGTGAGCTGTCACTTTATGTGTTCACACTGTGGACTTCTGGGGGGAAAATTGTAGTTTGCTGATGGTGTGGTAAAAAGCTGGACATATCTCACCTGTGTATATTTTGCAGGAAGGAACCAGGCCATCTAAAATGAAGCCACAGTCAATGAAATATGTCTTTGTCGGATATGAAGATGGACCTAGGGTGGTGAGGTACTATGATGTCATGACACATCAAGTCTGAGTGAGTAGGAACTATAGATTCCTACAAGAGAAACTCCCTCAACAAGTGCCTGATGTGCAGCGCAAGGGGGAGATAGGAAGTACAGACATGCAGCCATCAGGAGGAGCTGATGCACAGACACCTAAAAAACCACTCTTAAGTTGAAATGAGCACATGGCAGATGAGGATGTACAAATATCAGGATCTGATGGGAGTGATGATCAAATAGAACCATGAAGAAGCACTAAAAGTGATTCTCATAAATGTTAAAGGTTGCACTCACCTGACGAAGCTGATAGTAACCTGCCCAGGAGAACAAAGTGTTATGAACTCAGTTGGTCAAGCACTAGATACCCGCAAGGAGTACTGATCTAGTGTGATGGTCATCTTTCAATATAAGGCTACCCAGATGGAGAGTCTGAAGGTAGAGTAAGAAGTAGAATGATAGAAGCAATGAGGCTTGCTGTCTAGCTATCGTGCTATCCCTCTGTCTTGAGGCTTTAGGAGTGATACTGAGTAGATTCAAGTTAAGGACTACTACAGCATATGGAGTCCTTTACATATGAAACGGAGGTACCGGTTGAATGGTAAGGGTCAAGGGTAATACCGACAATGCAGTAAGGGCATAGGGTATGAGTCAGAGATAACGGGTAAACCATATAAGTGGTGCGAGAATAATAAGCCAGTACAGATAAGCTGAAAGAACAGTTAGATGGAAGTTGCTTTGGCAACGGATAGCATTGGTAATTGATAGGAGTAAAAGAATAAGCGGGTTTGAGAAGCTTACATAAAGTCCCTGTAACATCACCTCCTGTTCTAAGTGTGAAGTCACCTGGCTTCATGCGTCAAGGTGGGCGTCGTCCAGAAAAATGTCATTGACATCTAAACCTTCCATCTCATTGACTTCGAGTCGTCTGTCGTCTTCATCATCACAGTCAGGGATTAGACCTTGTCGTGCGTCATACAGACGTTCAAGACGAGTGAGTTGTTCATGGAAGTTGGGGTTGGATTGACCGTGACGAAGGATGTTCTGCCCGTTAAGACGTGGACAGTATGAAGTGAAGTACCCAGGGGAGAAGACGCCGCAGATGCGACAGAAGTACTGATGGCAATAACGATGTTTATGACCGTAGTTTTTACAGCACCAGCATATGAAGTTAGCTGGGTGGGTTTGTTCCATCTCAGTGGCTTCAAATTTGGCATGACAGATACGGTCGATCATAGTGGTGACAACGTCTTCTGGCTCACCTGTCTCGGGGTTGGGCACAACACCGTGGAAGATGGGAGGGTATTTAGCTGATAATGGTAAACCGAGTGAAAGGAGGATGGTGCTTCCTCTGTTTTGGTGGGCTTGTTTGCTAGGGGAGATGGCACGGCCTAGTTGGTGCAGGAATATGTAATGGTTTTCATTCAGGGGTTTTTGGAGTAGGTGGTGGGGAGTAGTGCATGATGGATGGTGTGGCAGTTCCTTCTACTTCTAAGAAGTCTCTGTCATACTCGCTTTCTTCAGCGATGGGGTTGGCGACTGGTGTTGTGAAGTTTGGTATGTTTTCTTCAGTGGGGGTTCAGTGGGTGTGAACGGCAGGACTAGTTCAATGTTTTCATCATTGTGGGGGTTTGGTTGGATGGGGGATGGTGTAGGTTGTGCTGTGAACTCTCCGTTATTGATTTTGTCAACTAGCTTGCCGAATTTCTTTGTCGCCAAGAGCTTCATTACGGCAGTCTTGATTTTGGTCTGTGCATAGCAGAGGGATACTGTCTCGAATGTTCCGCATTTGCATTCCTGCATGTCGATGATGCAGGTGGTAAGTGTATCTGCTGTTCTGAATGCTGCAATGAGTTCAAAAAGATGAGGTCATTTTGGGCAATGATGAGATTGTTGATTTCTATTGTGTAGCGGCTGTCTAGGATGAGTACCTTTCAGAGGGCTTTGTCTTCTTCCATGGGTGCAAGATGGGGGTGGGATGCGAAGAAGTTTGAGTCATTGGACGAGTTAGACATGGTGGTTGGTGGTCATTACAAAGTTACTTTCTTCGCTCCTCTGTTAGCAAGTCTTCTTTTATATGTTTTCAGTATTTCAAAGGAATTAGTCAGGTCTGACTCGGTTTGCCAAGAGTTGTCCGATTTGGGATATCCTTTCCAAGATACGAGGTATCGGCGGCAATTACCCATTCCTTTGTGGGCAAGTATTGCTTCTATTTTGTATTCTTCTTCTCCATTGATTACGTCAGGTGGTGGTTCTTCATAGTTCGGGCTGTGAACTTCTGTTTCATGATAGGTGAATAACTTGGAAGCATGGAAAGTGGAGTGAACTCTCCATGTTTCAGGGAGTTTGATTTTGAATGTGATGGGCGATAAGACTTCTTCTATGATGAATGGTCCATATTGTTTGGGTGCGAGTTTCTTCGATGGGAGTTTTGTTAATAGATGAGCTGTGGACAGTCAGGCCTTGTCCCCTTTCTTCCATGGGGTATACTTTCTTCCCTGCATTCTTTCTCCCATTCATTGTTGGGCGAGGGCATGGCAGGCCAGTGCTTCTTCGCGGATCTTGCCAAGGAGTTTCAGCCATACGTCCACTGCCGGTACCAATGTTTCGGGGAATGCCTGGGGTAGGCTTTTTGGCTCATATCCCATCATCAAGGCGAATGGTGATGTGTTTCTACTGGAGTGTTTTCTGGAGTTGTGGATGAATTCGGCCATCGGCAGATGTTGCAACCATTTGGTGGGAGTAGTTCGGCAGTAGATTCTGAGGTAGGTTTCTAGTTCTTGGTTGAGTCGTTCTGTTTGTCCATCTGTCTGTGGGTGATAGGCTGTAGAGAGGGCTACCTGATAGTCAAGGATACACCCTAGTTCTTTTGCGAACTTGGAGGCAAATTGTGGTCCTCTATCGGATATGATTTTGTCATAGAGGCCGAAGTGTGTGAATACCTTTTTGAAGAAGAGGTTGGCGACACCTTCTGCAGTGATGGTTTTCTTGCAGGGACATAGAATTGCCCCCTTTGTTAGGCCATGGTCGACCACAACCATGACAGAATCAAAGCCGTGGGATGGGGGAAGGTCAGTGATGAGGTCCACGGAGACCTGCTCAAAGGGGCGGGTGGCGATGGACAGGATCGGCATCAAGGGTGGGGTGACAGGGTGGGTATCAGACTTCATTTGTTGACAGATGGCACAGCCAGCAATGTAGTTATGGATGTAGGTACCCATACTGGGCCACCAATAAGCCTTCTTAATGTTCCATTCAGTGATGGTGCAGCCTGGATGGCCCGCGGTGAGGTGATCGTGATGGAGGGTGAGGACTTTTCGGTGAAGATCAGCCGGGACGTAGGCCCAATCTTTATAAAACAACACACCATCCGTAAATGCCCAATCAGAGAGGGCAGATTTAATGGGTGGGGCACAGATACTGCTGAGAGTGTGGAGGGCAGTTTGGATGGTGGAGTCAGGTGTGGATTTGGTGAGGGCTTTGAATTGATGTGCAAGCACGCCATCAATGAGGCGGACAAAGAGGGAATCAGGGAGGAGAGTAACATCAGTGTTGTCAGGATCACTGATGACGTGGTCAGGTTGGTGTGAAAGGGCATCTGGGGCAGCGAGTTTCGCCCCAGAAATGTGGTGAAAGGCAAGTTCAAATTTGCTAAGGGTAAGCTGCCACCGAGCTTGGCGGCATGTCAATTGCTGTGCAGAGCGGAAATAGAGAAGGTTTTTATGGTCAGTGAAGACAATGATGGGATGGGGGTTGCCTTCCAAGAAGTGTCGCCAACTCTTAAGCGCACATATGACAGCTAAAAGCTCTCAGTCATAGATCTGGTAATTACGCTCAGCAGCATTGAACGATTGGGAAAGACACCCACAAGGGTGGTAGGCGCCATTTTCATTGGTTTGTAACAAGACTGCAGCCAGTGGCAAATAGTGATGTGTTGGTGGCGAGGGAAAACTGCCGAGTCATGTCAGGGTTTCATAGCACGGGTTCAGTGAGGAAACTGTGTTTCAGTTTGTCAAAGGCATTGCCACAGGGTTCAGTCCAGAGGAAAGGTTGGTCTTTCTTTGTAAGATCAATCATAGGGCATGCAATGTCTGAATAGTGGGCGATGAAGTGTCTGTAGAAGTTGCAGAAACCGAGGAAGGAGCATACTTCTTTAACAGTAGTTGGTGTCTGCCACTGACTGAT